CAACCGCACACACTCCAAGGGCGACCAGCTCAGGTGCCCAGCCCGCAGGCCTCAGGACTTGAACGCGAAAGGGTCTCACCTAGAAGCCAACCAAAAGCCCAAGAAGATTCCTCGCCTGAAAGAAAACCCCACCCACTAACTACACATAGCCAACAGGAGGGAAGCGAAACAAGCTAGGCAGGAAAGCATAAGGAAAAACTCTATCCCGTAAACTACAAGACCCGTAGGGCCACAAAAGAAAATAAGCACTGCCCACCGTACCACCAGATTTGCCGTTATTTAAAGAACCGCCCCCGAAGTGGGCGGCCGGCGACGAGCCCGAAGGCTGAGCGCCCCCAACCAGCTAGGCCACAGATGTAGTGCAATACTATGGCCCGCCAATCGAGAACAGAGGCCACAGTGCCAGGCCCAAGGAATGGATGCTCGGCAGAGGGGGTGCCGCCCAGCAGTAGCATGCCAGCCAAAGGAAGGAGGTAGTAGGGTACCAGCCAAGGAGGGAAGGCAGTAGGGTGCGAGCCGACGCGACCGAAGTGGAAAGTAGAGGTAGGGCCAATGGCCTCAGTGCAAACCCGACCGTAAACTGAACTGATGTATTACCGTGTCTCTCATGTAGTTCCTTGTTCTCCAAGAGATAACGTCACTTAGTGGAAGGGATCCCACCGGCGGCAGGGAGATGGAAGGGCGAGGTGAGGAAGGTAACCAAACTTGAACCGAGCGACTAGGAGGGCATGGTCAAATCTCACCGCGAGACAGACCCCGAAGTTACTAGCCGAGGCGTTCCCCAACGGGGATCGTGCAAGTGGGGAGAAGTGCGTCCACCACTGCCAGTGCCGTCCGGAAGTGAAGAGAGGAAGCCGACCGTGCCAAAGCTAAGCGAGCCCATATTAGCAAGACAGGACTACTGGGCGAGCCCAGATAATTCAACCATCAAGCAGACAAGAGACAAGCGAGGCCAAAGCGGGAGAGGATGGTAGAGTTAACCGTGCCCCTAGGCAGGAACCATCGAGGGGGCAGAGGGGAGTGGGAGGGACCACGATAGTTGACATGGTGTTGCCAAACTATGTGGGAGGAAAATAGGAGCGACGGAGCGTGTGGGTTTACCATAGGCTCCTGGACTCTACTATTTATACAAACACCTTACCCAATCCTAACCCTCTATCACTCATACTTTCAAGTTACTATATCCTGTGACATACAGTCATGAGTCATGTGAGATCCTCAGCTGACTCATATGAGTCAATTGCGCAACATATTTAAACCAATCATAAATCTCATAATAAGTCATATGAGCTAAGTATATCACATACATAAAACTCGTGACTCATATATATGAGTCAAGCATGAAACTTATAACATCATATGACTTACAATAATAAGTCATAGCGTAACAATAAATACCTATAACTCGTAAATACACGTGAAAACCTTTGTTCCTCCTTGGTAATCTCCTATGTTATAATCTAGTTTGTGACAGATCCATATATCGAGGATCATAGTTTTGTTTCCCAATGGTAAGCTTTAATCAAAAAGCGTATCAGAAATATATGCACTGCCTCAGAGGGTATATGAAAGATTTTCTCTTATTTTCACACATAGTTTTACTCCAGAATTGTAAATCATACTACTTTCTTGAATTTGTCAATAGCTACTTGCTTTGTACTAGCATTACAAGCACCATGTATAACTAGCAAGTATTAGACAATTTGTATTGCTAAACCTATAATAATATACTGAGTAATAATACTATAATTATGCTACAAGATTGAATTAAGCCATAAAATTACTACTAGAGGCCACTAAGTCATATTGAGCTACAAAATATTACAATAGTAAGCTACAAAGTCATGTTGAGCTATAAAGTCATGTTGAACTATCAGGCACTCTGAAGGAGTACCTAAGATTACAAGAGTGCAAGTAACCAGGAGTTGTAGCTGCTAGGTACAACCTTGGAAAGAGTAGTATTACAGAGAATTCATGCATACCAAAAACTAGTTATGTTTTTTCTTAAGTAAAGATAATAAAGAAACACTACAAGTAATTATTTAAATTTTGTACTGACTTGTATGATACTTTAATAGTATATCATTACAATTACACTCCACTATCGAGGTACTCTTTAAACAAAAAAACTTGCTATTTTAAATAAATTTTCTGGAGCTTTACATACCTGCACTTATGTGATTTGTTTTTACTATGCAGAACTTCTTCTCAAACCTTACTATAATGAATGAAAAATTCATAACTTTTAGAGTATCTTAATACATGATACAACTTTATATATTAAATTACAAAATAGTCATGGTACAAAATGCTGACTTATACTTGAGTTCAAATGACTATAATACTACTACTATTCACATATCTCTTAGTTTTCAGACCAAGAGTGGAAAAATTATACATTGTTAAATGAAATATCAATCAAAATTAGTGGACATTATAGTTCTACTGTGTGGAAACAACTTAGCAAGAAATATTATAGCAAGAGTACTAAACCTAAGAAAAAGTAAAGCAATATGGTCAAGTACTGGGAAATAGTTCATTAGATCTAAAACAGGCAATTTTGAGAAAGCAGCAGAAAAGTATAAGGTAGTAGAAAAAATTACGGTATAATAATTTTAAGTTTTTTTTTTTCTTTCAAATCTTATAAATAATAGATTATTTAAATTCCAGTTATTTATAATAGCTGTTAATGACTAATGATTTTCAGAAAGTCTTCTCACCTGTATTAACTTAGTAGATATTTAGTATATTTACTCTAGTAATCTGTAGATATTTTCTACTTCTAATTAGAGTAACAATAAGAACTTTTTAACATTTAAAAGGAATTGAGAATGACTCTTTCTTTTACTTCTTGGAAATATTTTATATACAATAAATAATTCATGTACTTATAAGTACCATATTCTGACCTTAGGGAATCTATTTATAAGTCTAACATACCTTAAATTGAAGAACTTGAATAAAACTCCTCTACTTATATGGTGTTTCTTGTTTCTTGTATAAATTATAACACTGTAATAATATGTTTTAGCTAATTTTTTAATTCAGAAATTACTATTAATAAACAAAGAAGAAAGAGGGATAGATATTTCAAAAATCTATTTTACAATTCTTCAAGTGGCAGGTTGAATGCTTTTTAAATCTGCATAGTATAAATTTCTGTGAGTATTCTACTCTACCTACCTACCACCGACAGTGACCACTTTTTTCAAATATCTCTTACCTAGAATAAGTAGTTAGATTGGAATAAAGTAGATAAGATAATAGATACTATATCCTGCACGATTGAGACTTTCATTGAAGAAGAGGTTATCAGAATGAAGTTTCAGGTATTAATTGTGATTATTTGAGATGTTTTAAACAAGCATAATAGTAAAATAATATTTCTGCGAGATCCAGTTTCTTACTTGTCATAGCTGCACAATACAGTACTCAAACATAAAACTACAATCAAGAAGCTTCTTGTTTCACATCCCATATCAGAAACAGGAGTCCTCGGAATCGAAGAAAAGCCCCCTGTTAAATCCACCTCCTCCCGTATTCCGTGAATCATCGAGTCATACTTTAAACTTTTATGTTTCACCTCTTCATTTTTCTAACCACCCCTCTCCTCCTTTTCAAGCTCTACATCCACTACTCTCCATCCGCCCTGCCCACCGATTCATTATAATTTCTCGCTCATATGCACCCAGAACGTATATCCAATCCAACCCGACCGATGCACGCAAATACCCACAAACACAAGCCAAGTGAATTCACAGGACGTCCAGTACCCCGCCCCGAACAAAAACCATTCCTTCTCGTGTTTTGTACCCTGACCAGCGGAGAACGGAGGTGGAGGGTTGCGATCATGAATTTCCAAACTTAACCTCACCGGTACGGCACGTCCACCCGCCTCGCGTCTACAAGGACCACGATTATCGTATTATATCGGCAAATCCACCATCAGGGATTTGAGAGCCCGGCATACTTGCAGAGTGGGGGAGGGGGGGGGAGTGCTCCGTCCGCAAGGGGAATTTTCACGCTAAGCCGCGGCAGGATAAAGACTGTAGGTTAAAGACTGTAGGTTAATAGGACGGGGAATTGCTAGTCAATGAGTTCGGCTCGCGTGGAGCTATAGCGCGTTTGGAAAGCGGTATGCCTACTCGGGGCGGATTTTTTTTTTCTCTCTCTCGCTTGGTGAGATTGCCGATTGTGGATTTTACGTTTGACTAAATTCCATACCCTGGCACTGCACTCTGCGATAAGGTACGGTACTGTACGAGTATCGTACCGGTAAGCATGGTAACACCGGCACTGCGGCAGCGTCAGCCGCCCAAACTCACCCTCTTTCTCGCCTTCCTTTTCTCAATAATGCATAAAGTACAACACTTTGGCATATATTTCCCGTAAGTGTGATTACTCTTCAAAAAAAACACCTTGGTACAGTACCGCCCTTACCCCTCAACCAATACTTACTCAATCAAAATAACGAAAGCTCTACAATTAAAAATGAGTCAACCCTGGGATGTTCAATATAGAGTTTATTCCCAAAATATCATACTTGAAGTTGGCTGTTTCCTTTTTGGTTCTGGTTGTGGTGGCAGGGTTGATTTCACACCCCCGGCACCTTGGGGGGAATCACTGGTACCCCAGAAACCTTGCTTTTTCTTCAAACCCCCAAGTCAGCATCAGAGCACGCTCACCTATCCAGTTATGAAGTATTCGGATGTCTTGGCAGGATTGGTAACTGTTGTGGCACCAAGGGCCTTAACTTATTACTGTACAAAAACGGCCAAGTACACTACCATATCCACGACAATTGCATCTCAATATAAAGATTTTCTAGATCCCGAGCCCGAATTCACACTGAATTAACAAACAAGGACAAAGGAGGCGAGTAAAGAAAGCACAAAACAAGTTACTCCAGATTCAACAGGTATTATATATAACAAACAAAAAACTCTCGAAAAGAAACTCTCCAAACACCACCTCCGCTCTATTTATTTTTCCCATTATTATCACGACTGGCTCCCTACAACCTCGCAATCCCCCAGGATAATATTCCTGGGCCACTCCAGCCACGGCTCCCATCTAGCGTCCAGCTTCTTCTCAATATCGAGAAACGTCTCCCGGGCGCTTCCCTTGGCCCACCAGAACCCATCCAGCTTCTTCACCATGCACAAAAAGTAACAGAATATCACTAGCGCGCGTGGTTTATACTGCTGGAGGTTGTGGGTGTACTTCGCTGGCGCGTGGGAAATGAATTGCCAGGCAGTGGCCAGTTTGTACCCGGTTGCCCAGAAGTTGTTCCAGACTATTTTCAGGTGCTTCAGTGCGCGTTGATAGACGGCCGCTGTGGCGGCATCGATGATTACCTCGTCGCTGTCGCCGTGTGCTACGTTCGAGGTGGGGAGTGCCTCGAGGACTAGGGCGGTGAGGGATGGAGGGAGGGTTAAAAAGTCACCGTCTTCAACCGTCCGTGTGATGGCCTGGTCGAGGAGGGGCTTTAAGTCACCCTGAATGACCAAGGGCCACCATTCTTTGATTATGGCGTGCACACCATCGAAGAGGGGTATCCACCCGATCACCCTCGGAACCTGGCTAGCTTCGCCGCTAGTCATTTTGCAGGCGAAGCCGTAGAACGCTATCAGTGTGCTCGCTGCAAGAATGTGGTCTCCGCTTTTTGGTCGCTCGCGAATCTCTGCCCTCAAAGAACGTAGGGCTTGATCGTAGTGGCCTGCTGCAATCATCTGGTAGTGTGACACGATTACGGGTTCTTCCACCGTAATGCTCATGTGCAGTGCTGTAACTGCGAGAAGTGCATTCATGGTCAATTCATTTTGTAGAGCTATCCTTGGAATTTCGGTCCGATACACTTCGACGGATTTGTCATTTGTTAACGAGCTGTATGTCCGTATTGTGAAGTGGTGCAAAAGGCTCAGGTTGTCCAAGTCCTTTTTCGATAATGAAATGCGGGCAAGAGGAGAAGGGGTCCCCGACCGGGTGCCAATAAGAATCGAATCCAATTGCCTTGTGAGAGCCGCTAGCGGGGTTGGTGCCGAAATGCTGGTGCCACCACCACCTCTGCGGGGCTTAGACAAAGCCGGGATATGAGACTGCTGCAGCGGAAGAATCCGTAGCCGTGAAGAGACGACCTGTGAAGAAGGAAGGGAAGAAGAAGAGCTGGAAGACGAAGTACATAATAAAGATGAGGTACAAGAAGATGAAGAAGTACAAGAGGATGAGGTACAAGAAGATGAAGCACAAGCAGACGAATGGGTACGAGAGATCCCAGGTCGACCGGGAGGGCAATAAGCAGTGTAGATACAATCGAGTTCCCGGCGGGTACAGTTTGTACATATCGGTCTGATTTCATCACACTGGAGTGCCGTCAGCTAGACTGGCCCTCATATCCCATCGCCATCACACCTATACGGTGCGATTGGGGGGAGATAGATGACACAAACATGGAATGCTCATTTACCTTCACCCTCCGCCTTCTGCAAGTCATGCATCCGTTCCGAGATTTGGTGTGCCTGCGTTTGGGTGGCATTTGTATGGTCAATCGGGGGCAAATAGGCTTTTTTTCTTAAAAAAAGGTCGCGTGGGTATACTGTATGTGAGGGAAGGGAAGGGAATTTTTCCTTCCAGAATTTGACTCGCGCTTGGGAAAAAAGGATCAGCCAACGATGATACTGAGGTGAAGGGTGAAGGGTAGGGCGAGTGGGGTAGTTATGGGAGCGAGCGAGCACGAAGACGAAGACGAGAACGAGGAGTTGGTAAGCAAGTAAAGAGATTGGTTGGTTTGTTGGTTTATTTTTTTTGGAGGGGGGGGGCGCTTTGCTTCTGCAAGATGATTGCCCTTCCACCTCCCCCCCTATATGTCCTGGCAACGAACCAAGACTTATAAGGCAGTTATGGACGAGAAGCTTGGGTCACACACGACAACCTCCTTAAGGTTTGAGTGGAAGGGAAGGGGAGAGAGCATAGGGTAGAGATTGATAGGGCGTGAAGGTTTCTCGCACATTACCGTAACATAGAGTAGGAATATAATGGTATGGCTATGGTGAAGCTGTGGGTATGATAGCAGCCAATCAAGCTTCCGAGCCGGATTACCACAGAAATTCGTTTCCATGCCACCGACCGCACCGTTGACTCGAGAGCAAGGGGTGGTGGGGGGGGACTCATCCCTGTATTCTGGAGCTGATCCCCTCACACTCCATATCGGGAAGTAGGCCGATCATCATCTCCTCCTCCCTTCTGTTCAGCATCACATCCATCCATACTTGAGTAGGGTACCGTATTGTAGTCGTACTTGTACGAGTACTCGAGCACCGCAATCCTACCCACGGCACTTTCCGTTAGCCGGTCAATATACCGGCATCCAGATAACATTTTGGGAGGGTGTAAATGCTCTCCAAAAACGGCGCGGGGATTGCACATTCCACATTCCACGCGTGCATCAGCAGCACAAGTGCGGTACGGTGCAGTCAGAGTCCTTGATCGCCACTGGCATTCATGATCTGACTCCGAGTGCGGAAAAGGGAGACAGACTCGCACACACACATGATATCCGAACGATTGCCGTCCTGACATCGCCCGTATCATATGATATGTTAACTTAATAACAAAAAAAGTTGAGCCTTTGAAAAAGGGCTGATGCTCGGGGGACAGCCAAGACCCTTCACCCTTCACCAAGCCTTTAGATCACACCCCGCTGACTTGTCCCGGATATCAGTAGTTCGGACGCCTCACTTTCTCGTATGGATCCCCTCGAATTCTGAATCTCTTTACATATTATTTAACATGTTATCATCCCAGATCACTCGCTATGATCTTAGATGATGCTCCGGACAGCTCCGAAGCAGCATCTTGAAGCCATAAACAGACTCTTGGAGCCAGGTTTAGCTCCTTGACCAGACATTCCATATCCCCTGGGGAGACATATTTTCACCAAGTAGAAGAACCTTGGAAACCCCACAAAGGGCAGCTTTTCACATACCAAGTCAACAAGACACTAACTCCAATACTGGGTAATCTTTTTCACAAAGCTAACATAATCTAAAAAAAAGAAAGCATATTTTTCACCAGGTTAGGCACTCCCGCAAAACCCATAAAACTTGAATACACCAAGCCTGAACATATTATTGTTAAGCTATATACCAAAACTCAAGACAAGCCGTATTGTAATTTTACATAATATTGTAAACCTATTTTTTTTTTTACACCAAACCTAGGCATTTTTTATGTCAAGATAGATATGATACCTCTGTAAAACCAAAGTAAAGTCATATTGTATTTTTACACAAAGCTGCCATAATATTGTAAAGAATATTCTTTACCAAGTGATGCACCTCCGGAAAACCCATACATGAAGAGTTGGTATTTTTCTATATCTGTTAGGCAAAGACAACCTGATAGACCTCAGAGTTGTCTATGCCAATCAAGATTCGTTTCTGTAGACACAGATTGTCTAGGAAGACTCAGACTTTACTTATTTTGTTTATGACTACTAAGAGTAAAGTAAAGTAGTTAAAATAGGATAGAATTATAAAAATAAGATTATATTATTAAGGTCTCTTCTCTGTCACTTGATGATATCTAAAGCTTGGGATGCACTTCGATATTTATATTCCGTGTCTGAGTGTTCGTGAACTACATCTATATATTATACAACTATGTATCTCTCTGATTATATCTCAAAATGTTGGGTATTCTTCAAAGGTGCGAACACCTGAAGACCCTGACAATCACCACACCCTCTTCAGTAATTACAAAATAACTACCTTGGGACTATGCTGTTCCCAATAGTAATTACGCCATTATTAGAGTCTTTAGACTTATAGCTTAATTCTCAAGTCGAACTGAGTTGGCCCCAATTGTCTCCGTCATTGATGAAAGGATCAGTTTCATCTGCAGGTTGTATCTGCGAAGGTAGTCATCATTACAATCTTTCTTGATCATCTGACTTCAAATCTTTATAACTTCTTATCCAACTAACAGATATTTTCTGGAGGACTTCCTACTAATTCACAGGAATCTATTCCACTAGATTGATAAATAATCACTTGGTTGGCAGCAGGGTTTTAATTGCTGTTGTAGTATTCGGAGTCATCCTCACAGCTACAACTTGTTCCAAAACATAATTGTAATACTCCGTGAAGTCCATTGGCTCCTACAGTATATCAGTCAGAGTTCTAGACTCTTCTGATTATTGTAGGGTAGATGTGAATGTATTGGTCCTTTGTTGTGCTCCTTTATCATTTGATACGGTTTCAGTCTTCTGCCCTGGGGACTGAAGGACAGTGAACTCACTCAGGACTTTCCACATTGTGGTCTCGGGGGTTATTCCGCTCCTTGCCACAGATCTGGAGATTTTTTATGAAATTTCAGGAGTCACAGAGATGGTTCTCGGGAAATATTAAAGTACTCCCACCGTCAATCTAATGCTGCTTCTATCAAGCTGACAATAAAAGGCCCTTCTCTCACAGACAAACATGGGATTTGGTCTTGCTACTATTTTTGCTGGTTCTGTGGGTAATGTTGTTTACGCACAGTACAGCAATCTGGTGAGAGAGAAACGTCTTCATAGTGCACTAGCGATGGGGGTGGTCTATATCAACTTTCTATGCGGACAGGTGATAGGTGTTATGCCAGTATTTGAGTGTTCTCTTGGCCCAAGAAATAAGTGATCACCAAATTAACCCTCGGAAAAGCCAGATGCGTCACAGGCGCTCACTCTGAATTAACAGCCAGTGGACTCAGCACCTCGCACCAATGTACCCTCCCCAAGCTGTATAAGGCCTGACCTGACACACCGCACACCCACATGGGCCCATTACACCGTTCCGTATTCGGTCGCTTGTTTGTACAAAACATGCACAGCCGTTCCCTTCAAGCCCACATCCTATTAGGCAATCCCCCTCACGATAGCGCACGTCAGTCAGACAAGTGGACGAGTGGGAATAGGCCGCAATCACGGCCTATCACCCGGTATCATAACTAGCACCTATCCATTGTCGAAGATGTTTTGCGGCATGAATACATCGGGTAAAGGCAGCGCTTCCGTGTCGCTTGGATGGTGGGCCGGAATGCGTAGTATAGCCTACTATGAAAGATGGAGATTCCTGTGGGGGAACAAAGTAAATAAGAAATACAATACAACGAAATACAACAACCGCCCCGATTGGCCCTCCCCCCTCTGAAGTCCTTTCTCTATTCCTTCCATGTGCTTCGGTGGCATGCCCCGGAAGGAAGGAAGGAAGGAAGGGGGGACGGAAGCTCCCACAAGGCGAAAATATGAACCGGGGTGTGGAGGTTGGGTTAGTAGTGGCGGGCGTGCCTGCGGAGTTGTTGTGGCCTTTGCAGAAATGGCACCGATTAATAAGGGAGGTGGTCTGCCCGAAGCCTTAGGCGGTGCTGGAGGTGGCGGATGTCGGGGGGCCATAATAGCTCCATCGTCCTCCCATGGTAGCGCAAGGAGGCCCGTTCAAGCAGCCCGTATGGGAGGTGCAGTTGCATAGATAAACTATCGCCACAGTTGATATCAGCGCCTTCCGCCTCTACCAGACCAACAATCCAGATGTTGGATGCATAGCATAGATCACAGAACGTGGAGCGCTTATCGAATGAAAGAGGTTCGGGGGGACAGATGTAAGCGGGCCCCTAGGCAATGATTCTATATACATATAATTGGCACTGCCACGAATGAATGCACTACTCGAGTAGAGTGCCTGCTATCCAATCAGCAAGCTCGGAATTATATATGTACATACAAGTTACCAATCGAAAGGCCAACAAATCACCTAACATGAATCCTTATTGTAGGACATCTTACGGATATATACTCCCAAAGGTTTAAAATGTCATCTTTCAATTAGAAACGCACAACCCACCTTTCCGTACCCTCCCTACAACTGCTACCTACACCCACCACTACATCCTAATCAGAACGATGACGATGAGAGTGTACTCAGTTATCGCGAGGACTACGAGATACATAATGACAATAGTGGGGATCACGCCATCAGCATCGGCCAGAGCGGGATCCGCATCTGTCGGGATACCGGGGTATTAGGGGTAGGCATGGATATTGGTATGGGCATCGGTGACCCGTCGTGAAATAGCACGTCTACACAAAGCCGGTGTTAGGGAATAGCCGCATAAAACCCCGATTAGGAAGCCAATGGCTATAGCCCACCACCACGTCACAATCCAAACCATGCCAGCATCATTGAACTGTGCCATGTGTTGATCTGTCGCCCCTCCTGACGGTGTCGCTGGTACTGTACTTGAGCGAGCGGATGTATGTATGGGCCGTTAAGGGATAGCATCGGCCACAGTAGTTATATGATGGAGAACACTTAGACAGTGCAACTTTTTGGCCTTGCTCTTGAGACTTGAAGCCATTCTTGTTGAGACGATCAAAGAGAGTCGATTGGGAATTAGCTGCAGGGGAGAACTTCATTGCCTTCATGCGGGAGTGCGATTGCTTGGGTAAAACGAATAAATCAAGGTAGCCTGCACAGAAATAGTTTATGGAGTTTTTTTTGAGATAACGCGCCCCAAAGAGGCATCCAGGGCACCGCTTTCGGACCCTCATCGTAAAAGATCACTCGCTGTACCGGATGGAGTTCTTCCGATCTCGTCAATCCTGGGCAGTGTG